GGGGGGGGGGGAGGAGAAGGGTCAGGTGGCCTCCTTAACTTCTCCCTTCTTACTGTCAGACCCTACTTGGGCTGTTTTTTCTCCCTGCATGTGTGGGAGTGAGGGGCAAATTTAAAGACAGTGACTTTACTATAGGTATGTTTCTTTCAATTTGCATATAGGGAAATTACTATGGGTACTCAGACTTAGTTCATCCAGAATTGATGCAATATTCCTTTTTTGCAAGCTGTTGCAAGTTTTAAATGCAGGTACTTCATAAAACACACACCTTTTGAGCAGCACTTATATACTTTTACATAGTAAAAACTATGCATGTTATTAGTTCAAAAGCAAAAGGCTTATGATTTACCACAGTTCACAGGGCTAGGCCCCAGCACACACAGTGTTTCGAACCATGACGACCCACACTTCAGCATTGCTCAGGTACGTGTGCGCGTTCCAGATAGCCTCGCACAAAAGGATCCATACACATAAAGTAGCTCCCTACTGATGTCTGGAACTGGGCGTTTGTCATGAGCCCTGGGATCCTCCAACAATATATATGCAGATGTGGTTCAGAGCTGCTTGATCCAGCTTCATTTAGCGTGGCCCTGCCTTCCACGCATCTCATATGACAGGCTGAGAGAAGGGGTGACAGAGCCTCTCATCTAGAGATAAATGTCTGTCAAACATCACCAAACTTATGGTTGGTGAAGAAATAGGAATCATTGGAACTGGGAAAGGAAGGTGCTGCTCAGCTGTGGGAATTTAAATGTATTCACTGTAGCTGTTCACCATGAGTTGAAAAGTCAGTACTGAGGGGGACTGAGCACAATAGGCACTGTATCTTATTGAGATAGGTGGTGCTACCTTAGCTTTGTGGTAGGTGCCAACTCTATGCATGCTCAGTGGGTGCTTGAGCCTCAGGAAAAAAAAGTTAGTGCACCCACAGAGTTAACTGCATGTTTTAAGAACCCACACTTTACTGGAAGCAGCAGTATTACTTCAACCTGGCTCTGTGGTGTGTGTTAATCAGGTGCTTCAGCAGCACTGTGGTGCTTTTAGATAAGCTGATTCAAATCAGCTATTAGATAAAAAGCCCTACTAAAGCACCAGATCTTTACAAATGCTGAAGTAATGCACTGCCTCTTCTGGGCATGTGCAGAGTTTAGCACTGCTTTACTTTTTTTAATATAATATATATAAACAAACAAACAAACAAACCGTCTCCAAACACCCACCAGCAAAAACAAAAACAAGAAACATCAGAAGTTGGTGCCTATGGTAGGTGCCCAGCAGTATGTTTTCCCATACATGGGCCATGGGTTTTACAGGTATGCTCAGTGTGGACTTCATAGCCAATTTCCATTACTAAGCACATGCTGCTCCTAGCAGCAGTTTACAGATCAACTGGGTATTTAATGATTTTTTTTGTATGCAAATATAAAATGAAAGGCTTCTTCTGATTGGGGGCAGGGAAACTTTACCATATTCAAGTAAATATGGTAGATACCATTGGGATTCAACTAGTTATAACTGGTTAGCCACATTCTTGGTCAAGCATGCAGCAAATTGCTAGATACCAGATATGCTGGGCAGAACCCATCTAACCTGGGAATATTTCTCACCTTACAAGTAATAAGCTATGCTTGATTAGATTCCAAATTCCACTCTATTAACTGACAGCCACTAAAAAAAATTTAGTCAAGCTTGACAGGGTGTTCATGGCTGTGCTTGCTTTGAGCCCAACAAGCTAGCACCAGGGCTGTAATCCAAACTCCATGACAGCCTAAAATGGCAGCTTAACATCAGCTTAGCAAGCATGTACAGAGCTGTGACAAGCTTACCTCAATAGCAGCAACTCCTGTGCACACCCCAAGAATGATGCCAAGGTTGTCACTTAACCAGCTCTGCACACCATCCATGCAGCCCTGGGGAAGGAACAGAGTTATGAGCAAGGTGCAAGAGTACAAAGTCAGTCTACAATAGCAGTTCTTAGCCTTTTAGGTATGAGACACTCCCACAGAAAAAAGTGCCAGCTTTTAGGTTTTCATTCACAGCACTTGTTACCAAGAGCATTAGAAGACCACCGCAGGTCAGGATGCTCTGAACACTATTGATTCCTATTTGGAATTTCTGGGTTTAACTCGTGAATCATGTTTGCATAAAACTAACAGCACTAGCTGTATGTGGTACCTCATGGTACCCTTGAAAGGATCAAGGTACCTCAGGGTGTCATGATACTCTGGTCTACAAATAGCAAAAAGGAGGGAATAAAAGATGGTAAATGTGAACAAGAGCCAACAATACTGTTGAGTAGCCTTATTATGAGAGGACTCCTCATCCTGTCCCAAACCTGGGAAGTACACCCTAGAGAAGAGAACTAGAATGGCCATGGGGAAGCAATGGCAAAAATGATCCCTGAAGTGGGCTTCCCGCTCTCCAGCTTTGAGTACCAAGGAGCACTTTGGATGGGGGGGCCTGTTCAAAGCCTAAAGACACTTACCTGAGAATGGACAGGCCAGTCAGAGCCCAGCATGCCATTAACAGTGTCCACAGGACAGAAGCCAAAAAGATATGAATTGTTGGAAAAGCAGGAACAAGGATAGGATGCATAACTTTCATTTTTGAGGATCGTGTTATTCATCCAATCGTTTGGTCCATCCCAGCCACAGCACGACAGCTAACAGTAAATACATAAAATAAAATCATCATTGGGTTTTATTCCTTTTAAAAAGAACTATTAGTGCTTAGAGGAGGAGGGGCTAGTACCAGGTACATCCTCTTTATGTAGTACCTGCAAAGCCAAAGCTTGGATTTATTTTTGATTTCACCTCAGGAATGTTAGAACACTTCTGGCATCCCAAGGTCATATTGAGCGTGTTCATGGGGCAACTACCTTATCAGTGTCATTTGTACAGCTTGGCACTGAAGGATATTGCTGTGTTTAGATCAGTGGTTCTCAATCTTTTTAGACTGAGGGTACCCCTTCAAAACTTTTATATTAGCTTTTTAAATAGGGTACCATGACATGCTGAAGTGTATTTTGAATAGCATAACCATATTATACAATGCTATGTTAAGTATTAATCAGTTATTCATTTACTAGATCTTATATTACACTCACCCCATGGCCACCGCTGCTGCAGCTAAGTGGACCCAGAGAATGCAGAGCCAAAAGGTGCATGCTCCTGTCACCCTTCTGCTGCAGCCCTTCCCAGCCCAATCCTACATGGCATCTCCCAGAAACAGATGTGCAGGACAGTTCTGTTTTCATGACATACATCTGAGCCAAACTGAGAAGTGGTTACAGCAGAAAAGGTACATCAACTACATTACATTATGCAGCCAAGCAGGTCCTTTCCATTGCAGCTCTTCCCAGTTCAGTTCTAACCTGCCTCCTGGACAGAAGTGTATGGGGCAGTTCTATCAAATGCTGCTGCTGCGGCCACTGATCTCCAGGCCACCACCATGGGGTGGGAACTGTCCTATGCTCCCCACCTTTCAAACCAGGAACAGCTGTGTCAGAAATAGTGCACCTGCCTGCATAGTGTAATGCAGGAAGTACACCTTTCTGCTGCAGCTGCTTCTTCATTTAGCTCCATATGCCTCCTGAAAATAAAGGCACAGGAGGGAATTTCACCCGACAGCAGGGGAAGCACCAACATTACAGCACCCCAGTTGAGAACCACTGGCTTAAACCATAACTTGCTTCATGGTCAGTCTTCAATCCAGAGATTGAAACCAAGCCATGGACATTACAAGACCTGGTTTGAATGTACCATAGCATCAAAAGTTGCCTTACAACATGTATTCTTCATAAGACACCTCTTGATGGCAGCTTAGGTCATTAAAATTTAAAAAGTTATATGTATCTTATGCTTATGTCCATCTTTACTGTTTTCCATACTGCTTTTGAACAGCCATCTTAACACCAACCTCTTCTCAAAGAAAAAAAAGAGAAAGCTGAAGGAAGTGGTGGGGAAGAGGGGAAGAAGGGGTAACACATGCAAGCAACAGCATTTTGGCTAAGGATGGTAGATATTTACATGTGGTAAGTTTGAGAAAGACTCATGCCCAGAATCAGATGGAGACCATTAAAAAGGTTTAAAGCATCTAAGCAATTGGCCAAACTGAATACTTACTTAAGACTGGGGGGAGGTGGGAATAAAGTAATTTTTGGAACATAAAGTCCACCCATGGATTTCCCAACTCAACTGTCAACAGCAACCAATCACCACAAGATGGTGCACTTACACCTGGAACTCCAGGCCCAATGTTATTAATAAATACAGCCAGCTATTGGCACAGGGCTAGTTTACAAAACAAGCTTTGGAACAGAAATTTCTATTTGTAAAGAGATTCCAGGAGATGGGCATTTGTAGGCTTAGAGTAGAGGGGAAGAGTCTAAAAGGCCAAGTTCTAGGCATGTGACCTAGTAGGCTGCCTTATACCACACCTGTCACTCACATATCCAAATTCTTCTGCCAAAATATGGAACAAAGGTTGCCAAAAGCAACCCAGGAGGAAATCTGGTATTTAGATTACTGATTTAAAAAAAAAAACACAAGATAATCAGCACTTAAGGGGGAGGGGAGGTGTGGAACAAATCAAAAAGTCACACAACACTACTACCACATGCTTCCACCTGGAGGATATTTAGGCTTGGCAGGATTCAATGTTAAAAAAAAACAACAAACATTTTGCCTGACCCTCACAGACCAACAGAAAAATAATTTGTTGGTAATCACTGAAATTTATAGAAAGGGGGATGTTAAAAAAGTCTGGGACAAGGGTAAAGAAAATCCAGAATACCAGCATTTGGTATTTAGCATTAGTACCAACATATTTTAGCTTCATTGAAGGAGTCTCAGAAAGAACATGCACCACTCCAGAGAGTTTGAGTCTGAACACCACAGCCTGACATACCACAATGTACTATTGCAGAGATACCACACACTAAAAGCCCACTGGGCCACTCGCAAGTCGAGACTGAAGCTATTTACCCATGCCATAAAACACTGCAGGTGCAAAGGAGGGAAGTCCACTCTCCACAGCCCAGCCTGTCCTCTGCTGAGACAGTCAGTAAAAAGGGTGGCACAACCATGATGCTAAGGTGTAGGTACAGCATGAGACTTTAAAGAAGCCTAGGTAATGCAGCAGTCTATCCCTCAAAGCAGAACCAACATGGAAACAGGCAAAAGCCATGGCAATAAGGAAACCATGCCTTGCTCTTACATCCCAGACATCCTGCAATTAACAAGACAAAAAATGCAAATACAATGGACTGGGGGCTGGGCTCACTTCCTGTTTGCCTGAAGAGCTCTTTGGTTTGGCACTACACAAAAACATATGCTCCTAAAATGTTCAGCTGAGAAAGTTTTTCTAGCCAGCTGCTCAGGCAGCAACTTGAGCCAAGTTAAACCTGTTCATAGCTGGACAGTTCCAAGCAAAGCCAGATAAGCCAGCACTGCACAGAAACACTGCATGCCAGGAAAGAAGTGACACAAGCAGCAGCAGCAGCTTCTAGATTGTTTGCCATTAAGTGTTACCAAGAGATTCACCCTTTACTGCTATATTTACTTGGGTAAAACCATGGCTTAATTGTTGGAGGGGACAAGGGGGCAGCACAGAGAAAAACTGGATACTATGCAGATTACGGTAAAAAGGAGTTTTTTTCCTCCTCTCAGTCTTGCCTAGTGCCGGGGGCCCCTTTTGTTAGGCAGAAAATAGCAACTGGTCCTACAAACTACAGCATGCATACCCCATTTAAAGGCTAGCAGCCAAGATGGTCTCAAAGCAGATAAGCACCCAAATCCTGGGTTAACCACTGTGTTTGTCAGCCAGATGGCAGAGGCCAGTAAGTTGCCCTGCCCCAGCCATCTCAGTTCACAGACTACAGCAGCCATTTGTGCTCTGTAGAGGACTGCTCAAGGAAGAGCCCTTTATAGAAACTGCATCTTAGCATGTAAGCTAGAGGCTGCAACCTGGGAGAAGACATTGAACAATAGCCACAAAGCTGAACTGCAAGAGATTTAAGACAGAGCAAGCCTAGAATGGCAAAGGCAGTTCTTGGGTTCCACTGCCATAGGAGTGTGGAAATGGAGATAAAAAGGAGGCATTAAAGGGCCTTCATAACAGTATTAAAAGGACAATGAGTGTGGGACTGGAACACAGTGGGAGACTGAATGAGGGTGCAGGTGCCAGAGGCTGTCTCATTCTAGTAGTGACCCGCTAGGATACCAGCGTGGAATAGTCAAACTTAACTAGCCCTTCCTCAGCAACTTACTTGTTTCTGCACATAGTCCCATGCTTCCTGGATGTTCTTTTTCTCTTCATTTCCAGGGTTGTAGTCCTGAATCAAGCTTTGGACCATGGTGGACATTTCATTTTTTACCTGGCAATGTAAAAACCACAAGTAGTCAGTGAGTCAATGCTCCTACACATGCACTTAACCTTTTACTTCTTCAGAATTAAAGCTGGAATGGTATCATCCACCTGTACAACTCACTATTCAGCCTTGGGCAAAGTGCTTTACCTCCAATTCCCAACCCTTGCTCCTTCACTGCCTGTCACTGTTCTCAAGCACACTAGGAAGATGTCAGTAGGTGCCCTTACTGCCTCAGTTCTGGGTTTTGAGCATGTGAAATCAGGAGCAGGTGGAGAAAGAGACCTCTGGCATGTCTGTTAGCTTGCTGAGGCTTATCATGGGAGCCACTATTTCCAGAGGACCTTGCTACAGAAACAGGAAGGTGATCTTAAACTACTGGGGAGAAAAAACAAAACCAACTGTGTATTACAAAAAGAAGATGTAAAAATGTGGTAGCAGAGCATAGGAAGGGCATAGGTACAAGATACTGGCATTTGCCTATAGATGCTGAATGGACCTCTTGACACCAGAAAATTACATCCAGAAGTGACTAGGTTTGCAGAGCCTTGAGAAAGCCAGGAAGGCCAGACTGGGATGCTATTCATACATTTTGCATGGGAGATACTGAGAAGTGACAGAAATGAAGAAGTTGAAGGGAGAGGAAGAAAGTGCAAGTTATAGGGATGACATGAAGGAAGTAGGTCAGGAAATGCTTGAACTAACTAGGGGTTTGAATGAAAAGAAGGTATGAGGAGTCAAGTAGCCAACACCTGGAATACTATATTCAATCCCAGTCACGCAAGTTTGAATTAAGCCATCTTGAATATGAACAGGTGCAGAGAAGGGTTACCCTATGAAAGAGCTGGAAAATCTGTTTTACAAGAGAAGACTAGAAAAGTTAGTATTCTTTAGCAAAGTAAGATGAAGGCTAAGAAGGGGGAGTAGAGTTACAAGTGCTGTGGAGCACTACACTAGGAATATATAAAAAGAACACCAAAAGGGGCAGTGTTACCACAAAAGCAAGCAGGCAACACAGGTCATGGTTGCTTAAAACTAGAAGACAAGAGGCCTCACTCAATGCTAGATTCTCCCCTAGGGCACCATCTTGTTCTGTTTAAAGCCAGCCACCCAGGTATTTGCATTTGGTACCATGAGTCAGAACTTCAGGCCAGTTGGTATATCTAAAAGAAAGTTGTACTCTGACAGTAGCTGATTTATGCATCAGTCCAAAAGCCCAGTAATCCTCCCAGCTAGAAGTCACAGCTGCATTTTTGGTGTTCAATGTCTAGAACATCTGCTGTCAGTATACAGGCCCCCTCAAAAAAAAATTCACTGCAGTGTACACTAACCTAGAGCCTGGCAAAAAGGGCAAACTGGGCCCTTCACTCAGGCAAGCCTCATTCCCTGAGCACCAACCCTTCTCAAAGAGTTTTATGATCTCCATCATTACTGTGGTTACAGCAACAGCTTCCAGGAAAGGGGCAGACCCATATAAGAAAGAGCACAGGAAGCTAAAAGGATAATCAGAAAGTGTGCGACTAGATTTAGTATCCATCTTAAACATTTATGCCCCTTTCTGCCCCAAACCAGCCTGATAGTGGACATAGTTAAACTAAAATGATGTCAGAGTCAGCATTCTCTCCAGGTTGGTAGTTATGGGTCATCCCAGCAGGTTTCAAGACTTCTTTCTGGGCACAGAGTGCTCCAGACTTGCTGGCCCTGATAAACACAGGAAGACCTAGCAATTAGATCTTCATTTACAACAGTAGAGGCCATCTCATTACCAAAATTTTCTCAAGGCCATGGTTAGTCACATTCCCCACCCCCTCCAAAAAAAAACCCTTCAACATGCCATTCAGACAGATAAGAGACGCATGGTCTCCCTGCTTCTCCTTAATTACTTGGCAAACAAGCTTCCCCCCCCCAATTACAGGAATCAAAGCCACTTGAACTGCTTGCCACTAACAGGACTGCACCTGGATGGTGCAATAAAGTATACAGGTTTCTGAACTC